GAGGCTGTCACCAGAGGTAAACTACACGTAATGGACAGCCTGCCTACAGGCTCCAGCCTGCCTACAGGCTCCAGCCTGCCTACAGGCTCCAGCCTGCCTACAGGCTCCAGCCTAAATAGTGGACACTAACTATATCTCCAATAACGAATTAGACAATTAAAAAAAAATGACAGTCACTGAATACGCCAACCGAGAGACAGGTGGGGTCCCAGGAACTGAGCTCGACTCTACTCGCCTAGCAAAGCTTACAAAGTACTTTTGGGTCAGCACACAAACTAATATGGTTGAAGGCCGCTTTACTATTACACTAACTCCATCAACTATTAATTACGATGTGACCGCTCACGAGGCCCTGCTCGTGAATCATTAATAGACTCATGATACCTGGATGACCTTATCCTCATTATTCAGTATTATTCATGACTTCCACTGTGCCCTACTCTCCCTCCTCCTCATTTTCCAACCCTTCCTTACATCCACCGTCCACACTATCCTCATCTTCTCCATCCACATCATCTACACTATCATTCTTCATCTTCCCCTTCCTCCCCCTTGTTGCAGTACATCCTCCATCTCATCTCCCTCCTCCCCACTTCCTTCCTTTAATCATTCTTTCACTCATTCTTCTTTCTCCTCCCTACTCATCTTCATCTTCCTTCTGCTCCTTATTTTTCCCTTCCTCTTTTTTCTTCATATCCTCTTTAATTTTCTACCTCCTTTACAACTTCATATAAGTCTTGTCCTTCATATAGTCCATCATTTTATCTTCCGTTTCCTTGTATGTCCTTACTCCTTCCCTGTTCCTTCTCTCCACCTTTTTCCCCCCCTCCCCCATACTTCCTAATTCAACTTACTACATGTCTCAGCTTGGAATTCCATAGAACAACCAAGAGGAGTCATAAGAACAAGTATATAAATGCGGATGGTAGCTCCAGTAAAGCAAATGAGCTGTGTGAAAGGACATGTCATTAGAACCTAACATTATAGGTGTGGTAGAGGCCTACATTTCTGGGATAGCTATTGACGTTGTACAGAAAGAAAGCAAATTAACGGAAAAGCTGACAACTCGCAGCCTAGCCAGACCAATGGCAGCCTGGCCAGGCCTAGTGACTGACAGCCTGGCCAGGCCTAGTGACTGACAGCCTCTTGTCTCAGCTCCGTCAACATTGCATTACACATCATGTGCTAAGCGTTCAGCTCACTACCTGATGAGAATACCTATCAGTGAATGGTCTTGTCCAGAAGACAAGACTATCAATATGTATTTGTTATGTGAGCGGACCACACATGACTGTCCTTGTGCAGCCCAGCCTCGGCTTGCTTCGCTTACATCACAAATGCACATTGACAGCCTTGTCTTCCGGACAGCGAAAAGGAAGCTCTGCTTGAACACATGACACTATACATTGTATATGCGCAGTTTGTGAGTGCATTCTTTGGCACCACGTGAGATAAAATCTTGATATTAACATGTCATCAATGGGATTATCATTTGATGCCTGACCCTAGAAATTGTTTCATTTAATGTTTAATTACTTTTATTTGATTGGTATATATATCATATTATGTAGGTTACCATCACGTCCGCTTCCCCGTGAAGTGGTAGGAAACCAGTGTTGACCAGGAGCTGGTACTCTCCACCTGCCACAACCTACAACAGACAAATAGCTCAAGATGACCTCAAGATAGCCTCTCAAGCTTACTGACCAGAAAAGTATGAATCCAAGGAACCCGCCGGACACAACAATGCACAGAAAACGTGAATATTTGTGAGCCGGTCCTTTTCATAGCGCTTTGTAATTTGTTCAGTGGGCTTGTTGTTGTTGTTGTTAAAGATTCGCTACCTGGAACTAAAAGATCCAAGTAGCACGGGCTATGGTGAGCCCGTAGTGGAGTTCTTTCCAGTGGGGATCATAACGTGCTTGATGAGAGGACGTTTGGGTAGAGCTTTCACCTGGGTAGGTGTAGACTGACGAAGCTTATCAAGAGCAACACACTGCAGTGTGTTGCTCTTGATAATGATCGCTGACAGTGTTGCTCTTGATAATGATCGCTGGCAGTGTTGCTCTTGATAATGATCGCTGGCAGTGTTGCTCTTGATAATGAACGCTGGCAGTGTTGCTCTTGATAATGATCGCAGGGAGAGTGTTGCTCTTGATAATGATCGCTGGCAGTGTTGCTCCTGATAATGATCGCTGGCAGTGTTGCTCTTGATAATGATCGCTGGCAGTGTTGTTCCTGATAATGATCGCTGGCAGTGTTGCTCATGATAATGATCGCTGGCAGTGTTGCTCCTGATAATGATCGCTGGCAGTGTTGCTCCTGATAATGATCGCTGGCAGTGTTGCTCCTGATAATGATCGCTGGCAGTGTTGCTCTTGATAATGATCGCAGGGAGAGTGTTGCTCTTGATAATGATCGCTGGCAGTGTTGCTCTTGATAATGATCGCTGGCAGTGTTGCTCTTGATAATGATCGCTGGCAGTGTTGCTCTTGATAATGATCGCTGGCAGTGTTGCTCTTGATAATGATCGCTGGCAGTGTTGTGCTCTTGATAATGATCGCTGGCAGTGTTGCTCTTGAGAATGGGGCAGCCACCATGCGGGTGTTGATGGGCGAGAAGACTGTATTAGAGTTGTTGTTCTGGCGCCCCGCCTAGTTGTGTCAGCGCTCTTAGAAAGTACGGGATGCAAGCCCTCCCAGGCGTTGGTGCATACTCAAGGTGTGAGCGATCTTGTGCCGCATATAAAGTCTTGTGACCGCCGCTGTAGAGCAGATACGAGGAGCGTCGTTGTGCTTACTGCCTACCAACACAGCGCGTCCTCTAAACAAAGACCCAAAAGTGATTCCATGCACCCGCCAAACCCCCTGTTTAATAATGAAAAGCGGTTTTCCGCTTTTCATGAATGACTAGTTCATTTCAAAATGACCAGTACCCTTTAATCAGGTGACTTATGTTCCCCCCACCATCACCCTGGTGGGGAAAGTACAACGGAAATTTGAAACAAATCACAAGCGCATGCGCGTCAACTGTCACCCAACGTTGCCAATTTACCCCCCACCCCCTCGCCAACCTTGTCTGTTCCCCCCCCCCCCCCATCTCCTGCATGTGTTTGTTTCCACATTTGGGTCCAAAAGTAGATGACTTTTGCTCCTCTTAGCAAGCAAGCTTAAGAATTTCCCAGCCTATAACTCATGTTAAGCTTTATATTAAAAGTTTTCTGTTGAACACGACTCAGTAATTGGTTTATAACCAGATCCCCCCCAATTACTGCTGGGTGAACATTGGCTGGCTCTGTCTGTCTGTCTGTCTCAACTAACCACACTGGTGCACATGGGAAGGGTGAAACCTGCCGAGTCATAGATAATGACTCGCACCCCCACCACCATTCATGCCATCACCCTCCCCCAACCAGTACAATCCATGCCATCACCCTCCCCCAACCAGTACAATCCATACCATCACCCTCCCCCAACCAGTACAATCCATGCCATCACCCTCCCCCAACCAGTACAATCCATGCCATCACTCCCAACCAGTACAATCCATGCCATCATCCTCCCCCAACCAGTACAATCCATGCCATCACTCCCAACCAGTACAATCCATGCCATCACCCTCCCCCAACCAGTACAATCCATGAAATCACCCTCCCCCAACCAGTACAATCCATGCCATCACTCCCAACCAGTACAATCCATGCCATCACTCCCAACCAGTACAATCCATGCCATCACTCCCAACCAGTACAATCCATGCCATCACTCCCAACCAGTACAATCCATGCCATCACTCCCAGCCAGTACAATCCATGCCATCACTCCCAACCAGTACAATCCATGCCATCACTACCAACCAGTACAATCCATGCCATCACTACCAACCAGTACAATCCATGCCATCACTACCAACCAGTACAATCCATGCCATCACTCCCAACCAGTACAATCCATGCCATCACTCCCAACCAGTACAATCCATACCATCACCCTCCCCCAACCAGTACAATCCATGCCATCACCCTCCCCCAATCAGTACAATCCATGCCATCACTCCCAACCAGTACAATCCATGCCATCATCCTCCCCCAACCAGTACAATCCATGCCATCACTCCCAACCAGTACAATCCATGCCATCACCCTCCCCCAACCAGTACAATCCATGAAATCACCCTCCCCCAACCAGTACAATCCATGCCATCACTCCCAACCAGTACAATCCATGCCATCACTCCCAACCAGTACAATCCATGCCATCACTCCCAACCAGTACAATCCATGCCATCACTCCCAACCAGTACAATCCATGCCATCACTCCCAGCCAGTACAATCCATGCCATCACTCCCAACCAGTACAATCCATGCCATCACTACCAACCAGTACAATCCATGACATCACTACCAACCAGTACAATCCATGCCATCACTACCAACCAGTACAATCCATGCCATCACTCCCAACCAGTACAATCCATGCCATCACTCCCAACCAGTACAATCCATACCATCACCCTCCCCCAACCAATAAAAAAAAAATGACCAAAGATGTGCAACGAGACTCGTTCCTGAGCTGAAGGGATTAAGCTCTGAGTAAAGACTGTTAGACCTTACCACGCTGTAAGAAAGGAGAGAATGGGGGCATATAGTAACTTATAAGCTTTAAAGGAAATTTACAAGGCAGGCAAAGCCCCATTGTTCAAAACTAGGGACAGCAGAAGAGGGGTCATAGATGGTAACTCGAGATGCAAATGAGTCAGAAAGAACCCTTTCAGTTTTAGAACCATAAATAAGTGGAAAGGTTAGACGTAGATGTTAAAACTAATTTAAATCAAAGTTTTAAATTAAAATATGATAAAAGCGTGAGAAATGAGTCATTGCTTTAATCTACGAAAGTTCAGAAGTTGGGGCTAGGAGCCTAACACGACCCGGTAAGCACATCTAGGCGAGCACAGAGTCACTAGGAGAGAGGGAAGGTGTAGCCTCGTCACAGGAACTTACCGCGCCCAATACTGCCAGCTGCCGCCTGTTCATCCCTGTGGGAGAAACACACAGTAAAGTATTTCCTAGTTTAAGATGACTATGGTCGGGTGTATATATTACTCTCTAATAATGAAGACAAAGTCAGGAGATTTCTAATATTATTTCATTTGTTTTTCCTTGTGGCATCACAGGTGTTTATGAATGTGTACTTGCCTAATTGTGTTTGCGGGGATTATGTAAGTAATTATCAAAAGAAGGCGCCGAGCCGGGGAGACTATGTAGCACCATCAAAGTCGCAGGATATTCAAGAGGCGCTGTACAACCACTTGGGCTGGAGGGTAGAGCGACGGTCTCGCTTCATGCAGGTCGGCGTTCAAGTCCCGACCGTCCAAGTGGTTGGGCACCATTCCTTTCTCCCGTCCCATCCCCAATCCTTATCCTGACCCCTTCCCAGTGCTATATAGGCGTAATGGCTTGCCGCTTTCCCCTGATAATTTCCTCCCCTCAAAAGGCGCTAAATATCACCAAGGATGCCAATACGATAGCAAAAGCGCATAAGGCGAACGATATCAAAGATATCTGATTCGCCAAGGATTCTATCGAGGGACAGGTGACCGCGAGGGACGGTCGGAAAGTAGTTTTTTTGTGTGTGGTCACGTCTGTGGTAGAAAAAAAAGGATATGCATCACCGTAAGAAGGACAACACAGTGAGGACAATAAGAGCAGGGCGGCGCTCAGTAAGTGTCCGTGAGTTATACCAGTATATTCCTGGAGGTTGTGCTTCGGCTCTTTGGTCCCGCCTTTGAACTGTCAATCTGCTGGTGCACAGATTCCTGAGCCTACTGGGCTCAGTCATATGTACATTTGAAACTGTGTATGGAGTCAGCCTCCACCACATCACTGCCTAATGCATTCCACCTGTTAACTACTCTGACGCTGAAGTTCTTTCTACTGTTTCTGTGGCTCATATGGGTACTCAGCTTCCACCTGAGTCCTCGTGCGAGTACCACCCGTGTTAAATAATATACTCATCTAAATAAGACATTATGAATGTCCCATTTGAATAGAATGAAATATCCTTATCTACCCAGTCAATTTCCCTGAAAATTGTATGTGGTAATCCTGCTGCTTCCGGCCCAGTGTTAGGTAAGACCCTGATGCAAGCTGGCAGCCTAATACCCAGAACACCACCGAGGGAAACACCGCCGCCGCTATCACAGATAACCTCACTATCATTGTGTATTATCACAGTACTGGCGGGTTTCTTCTCGATTGATAATCTGGATAATCCAGGGCAGAACAAAAATGGTTGGGCGCGTTTCCTATCATCTATTGCCCCTGTCTGCCCAGCAGTAAATAGGTACCCAGGAGTTGGGTTGTTGTGGGTTTGGATTCTGGTGGGTGGGGGGAGACTCGATATAACCCTAATTATTTAGTGCTGTTAACACTCTATTGACTGGTGCCGACATACCAACTCAATCCTTTTATGATAAACGGCTAATCAGAAATGCCTACAATCTTATTAAACTCAACATTCCTTTTCAGTGCAATCTACCTGTCTCTGATATTCCTCTTTATCTGTGCCCCACCATTCAAGTATCATACACACCTGTCACCAAGAAAGATAATGAGAATCTTGCTCTTCTCAAAGCTGTCACACTCGAAATAATTGCTTCCTCCACCGAAAATTTGAGATCTAAGATCACTGTGTCTACCCCGACGGCTCAGTCCAATCTTCTACTGGACGGACTGCAGCAGCATGTAGGTTTTATAGAAATAATATTTGCACAAAGACTGTCAGTGTCAGATTAAACAACTGGCTGACCTCCACACAAGCAGAACTAGCGCCATTACAACTAGCAACCAGTACATTAAAAGAAACATTGGAGGAGGAATAATAATTTGTGATTCAAAGTCTGCTCTTCAAGCAATCGAAAACTCCTGGAAGATCGACAGCAAGAACCTCATACTACCAATTATAAATGACCTAATCGCTGCACAGAGTAAAGAGTTTTGAATCTCCTTTGTATGGATACCATCACACACAAATATAATCCGTCATAATGAGACAGACATTGCAGCCAAATTAGCGTGTAACAAAGATGAAGTTGAATTAGATCTAGGTATCCCCATCTCTACTGTCAAAACTGTATTGGTCCAAACACTCAGGTCTCAGAGAAATTACTGACTCCCAACGACCTGAAAGCACCAGTAGAAAAAACTATGATTTGTTCAGATCTGAAACTTATATCTATGGGCAGCACAAAACGTCCACCAGATTGTGCGACACAGTGGTTGCCAGGATCAGATTGGGCTACCGTTACCTGTGGCAGGTGGCTACCGTTACCTGTGGCAGGTGGCTACCGTTACCTGTGGCAGGTGGCTACCGTTACCTGTGGCAGGTGGCTACCGTTACCTGTGGCAGGTGGCTACCGTTACCTGTGGCAGGTGGCTACCGTTACCTGTGGCAGGTGGCTACCGTTACCTGTGGCAGGTGGCTACCGTTACCTGTGGCAGGTGGCTACCGTTACCTGTGGCAGGTGGCTACCGTTACCTGTGGCAGGTGGCTACCGTTACCTGTGGCAGGTGGCTACCGTTACCTGTGGCAGGTGGCTACCGTTACCTGTGGCAGGTGGCTACCGTTACCTGTGGCAGGTGGCTACCGTTACCTGTGGCAGGTGGCTACCGTTACCTGTGGCAGGTGGCTACCGTTACCTGTGGCAGGTGGCTACCGTTACCTGTGGCAGGTGGCTACCGTTACCTGTGGCAGGTGGCTACCGTTACCTGTGGCAGGTGGCTACCGTTACCTGTGGCAGGTGGCTACCGTTACCTGTGGCAGGTGGCTACCGTTACCTGTGGCAGGTGGCTACCGTTACCTGTGGCAGGTGGCTACCGTTACCTGTGGCAGGTGGCTACCGTTACCTGTGGCAGGTGGCTACCGTTACCTGTGGCAGGTGGCTACCGTTACCTGTGGCAGGTGGCTACCGTTACCTGTGGCAGGTGGCTACCGTTACCTGTGGCAGGTGGCTACCGTTACCTGTGGCAGGTGGCTACCGTTACCTGTGGCAGGTGGCTACCGTTACCTGTGGCAGGTGGCTACCGTTACCTGTGGCAGGTGGCTACCGTTACCTGTGGCAGGTGGCTACCGTTACCTGTGGCAGGTGGCTACCGTTACCTGTGGCAGGTGGCTACCGTTACCTGTGGCAGGTGGCTACAAGTGACGGATCTCCCAATCCTGAGCACTCCAGGTGCAAACTCTGTGAGCAGGAACTGCGGCATGATCTCCCACACTACATTACCGAATGCCCAGTTATTAGACCTTTCAGACCAGTTGGCATGAGGTACCTAGAGCTTTGCAATTACTTCATTCACTCTCGTGTTCTTGAGGATATCCTCATATTGCACCCAAAATTTGCCAGTGTAGGCTACTGAACATATGGTCCTGTATGACTAATCATCCTGCGAGATGGGGACGTTTAGTATCTCTTATCTTATTCATTCTTGTGTTGCTGATATCCTCATATTGCACCCAGAGTCTGTCAGTGTAGACTACTTATCACATGCCTCTGTATGACTAACCATCCTGTCTGATGGGGATTTTTTTTAGCATCACGTAGCTAGCTTTTTGACACACTGTACTTCCCTACATATAGTCTAGGGCAAATGCAGATGTACCTAATGTATTAATAATAATAAAAAAAAACGTGGCTCATATATATACATACATACATATATACATACATAAATTCATACAAACATATACATACATATATATATATGCATACATACATACAAAAATATGCATACATACATTCATATACATATGCATACACATACAAACATACATACATATACACATATATGGGCTGCCCGTCTCCCCGACAGTGAATATATGAACTGCTTCATTGCTGCGCCTTCCGATGCAAGATTAACGTGTCTTGAGCTGAGAGCTGAGAGCACACTTTAGCTGGAAAAGCTGTAATTTGAGCTGAGCGTACTGTGTTTTAAACTAACAGCACGTTGTTTTGAGCCGAGAGCACTGAATTTTGAGCTAAGATTACCGAATTTTAAGCTAAGAGCACTGGATTTTAATCTAAGAGCACAGGCTTTTGAACTGAAAGCACAGGATTTTGAACTGAGAGCACGGAATTTTGAGCTCGGTGCACTGAATTTTGAGCTAAGAGCATTGAATGTTGAGCTGAGAGCATTGAGTTCGAGCTCAAAACACTGTTTTCAGCTTAGAGTACTGGATTTTAAATTCAGAGCACTGAGAGTACTTACTTTTGTACTGAAAATACTGTTTGGAACTGAGAACACTTGTTTTGAACGAGAGCTCTTCCAGAGTTGCGAACATCTGTGATTATTGCAACGTGTTCTGATAAAATATCACCATGTTTACATCTGAGAGAACACTGTCTAGAGCTGAGAACACTGTCTAGAGCTGAGAACACTGTCTAGAGCTGAGAACACTGTCTAGAGCTGAGAACACTGTCTAGAGCTGAGAACACTGTCTAGAGCTGAGAACACTGTCTAGACCTGAAAACACACCGTCTAGACCTGAGAACACACTATCTAGACCTGAGAACACACCGTCTAGACCTGAGAACACACTATCTAGACCTGAGAACACACCGTCTAGACCTGAGAACACACCGTCTAGACCTGAGAACACACCGTCTAGATCTGAGAACACACCGTCTAGACCTGAAAACACACTATCTAGAGTTGAGAACACACTGCAGTTGAAAGCATTTTGTCCCGAGCCGAGAGCTCTTGATCTTTGAATCCTGAAGCACAATGATTTTCACGCGTAAGTCCATCATTATCTTACCTGTGAGTATTGGGTGCAGGCGTGAGAGCAGCGCGGATGGACACCACACGACACCGCACGACACAGGTGCGCTGCTGAAGGCCGCGAGCGCACTGACCACCTGTGACGGCCCGCGCCTCGGCCTTTATATATGTTGCTGGATGCCACCACCCGCTCCGACCCCCAACCCGGCCACCCCGCCCCTCCTCAGATACTCCAATCAAATGTTTATTCAGGTAAAGTACATACATGCATGTTGAGTTAACAAACATAATGTTGGAATTATAGATAGAGCTAGTACATACAAGGCCTAAAACCACTATTACGCACAGCGTTTCGGGCAAGGAAATGCCCTAAATACTAAGCTCCCAGCAAGTGCCAGAGTCCAGTAACTCGTTCCTTCCCCAGAATATTACGACCATGACCCCTAACATTCAGACAGAGACACACACCAACCCGTTCTCGCACTTTCTTACAGTCAATATTGACTTATTAAATAAGTGCATATGTGACATACTAATTTGTTGTGAATATTTTAGTTTACCTTGAAAAGCTTCATAGAAAACACCGACCTTACCTAACCTTCTTAGTATGTTAAGATAAACATCTTATTGCTTCGTAATTACAATTATTACTTAACCTATTATAGGTATAGGTAACCTATTATAGGTATAGGTAAAGTAATAATTGTAATTACGAAGCAATAAGATGCTTATCTTAACATACTAAGAAGGTTAATTAAGGTCGGTGTTTTCTATGAAGCTTTTCAAGGCAAACTAAAATATTCACAATAAATTAGTATGTCACATATGCACTTATTTAATAAGTCAATATTTACTGTAAGAAAGTGCGAGAACAGGTTGCACATACAGACACAGCATGGAGCCCGTACCTTGTCAAAAACAAAACGAAGCTGGAAAAAGTTCAGAGGTATGCCACTAGTCTAGTCCCAGAAATAAGAGGCATGAGTTACGAGGAAAGGTTGCGTGAACTGCACTTCACGTCGGTTGGAAGACAGAAAAGCTCGAGGGGACAGGATCACCACATACAAAATTCTCAGAGGAATTGACAGGGTAGACAAGGATGGATTATTTAACACGGGTGGTACATGCATAAGGGGACACAGGTGGAAACTGAGTACCCAAATGAGCCAAAGAGACATTAGAAAGAACTTTTTCAGTGTCAGAGAAGTTAGTAAATGGAATCCATTAGGAAGTGGTGTGGTGGAGGCTGACTCCATACACAGTTTCAAACGTAGACGTGTTCCAGGGACACTGCTTGTTGGTTACGGCTTCCCGTGAACTATGGGCGTGGAAAGTGATCTACCTGTCAGCAGGACTACGGCGTCAACTCCTGTGCTCGCCTCCCTGAGAAAGTAAAAAGAAAGAAAGAAGAAAGAAAGAAGAAAGAGGGGGCATCATTATTTCTACATTTTAACACCATTTTCAGTGTACATACTCTAATACAGAAGTCACTTGTGTGTGTGTGAGTACCTCCAACGACTCACTCTCCCGCTCCCACTGCTGACTCTCCACCCCCCCCCCCCTCTCAAGAAGGTGGTGGGTGAAAAAGTCAGAGTAAACTCCAGGTTCAAGAGGCCGGGCGAAGAAGCACACGAGAGGAACTAACAAGCAGGGACAAAGTACAGAGAGTTGGGATCAGAGAAAAATACAGACGCACTAAAGAGAGCCAGATATGATCACACTGGAGTCAGGAGGGAAACAATTTGACAATGGCATAGCAAAAGCTAAGGACCAATCAAAGCTCTTTTATAGCCATATAAGGGAAAAACACCATAGTTAGACCACGTGATAAGGCAAAAGAGGGGGAAGTCTTGTGGAAAACGACAACGAGGTGCGTGAGGAACTAAAAAGGTTTCATGGGGTCTTTACAATGGAATCAATGTGGAGACCAGAGCCGAGTGATGAAAGGCTAGAGGAAACACTGGATGACATAGTAATCACAGTGGAAGAGATTAAAAAACACCTGAAACCACATGATGCAACAAAATCAACTGGACCAGACTTAATATCATCATAACTACTGAAAGAGGCTGCAGAGGTAATATGTCACCCAATAACTGAGGTTTTTAACTAAACGCTTATAACAGGAATTCTTCCAGAATTATGGAAAAGGCAAATGTAGTCCCAATATTCAAGAAAGAGTACAGATAGAAGACAGTAAATTACAGACCAATGTCACTGACAAGTAGTCCTTATAAGGTGCTGGAGAGTAAAATCAGGTCGAGAACAGTGGCGCATCTGGAATGGATAAATGTTTTAACAGAACAGCAGTATGGGCTTAGAAAGTCATGCCTGACTTTCAAAAGTCAAACTTGATCGAGTTCTATGACAATGTTACTAGAATACGACAGGAAAAGGAAGGCTGGTGTGGGGGTTTTCTATTTTGCTTTCCCGACTGCAAGGCGCATGTCGCCAATGTACATGTGGCAGACGTTTCACGAAGCTGTCGGAATCGGCAGAGAAAATACGAGAGCAACCGTACAGGGCCTGGGAGCAAGGTCGAGTTAGAGTCCTTGAGGGTCTCTTCTCAGACTAGCTTCACCTGGACCTGCTCCACATTGATCGTTGGAATCTCCTCAATGATTTAACACTTTAAGGGACTCCCAGGGTCCTCATCACATTTATAGATTTGCGAATAATAGGCAACTCGGTGTTGGAGACACCTGGAGCAGAAGGCTTGAGTAAATAGTTGGCAGTATTCAGAAGTGGTTGAACGGAAACACCGCATAAAGCTTAACAGTAGTTTATTTACTAACTTAACCACTAATACAAAGGGTGCTTGGTTTACTTTAGATTGGCGTCAGAAAGGCTATGGTTGCATTAGCAAGACTCTTGACGTCTGGCTAATCGATTCGGATCCACTCGTGGCGAAACACGCAAGTCAGTCTGGGGAGTGGTTTGCGTATCAATCTTGAGATGATTTCTTGGCTAAGCGTCCCTGCGGTCCGGTCCTCGACCAGCCCACCTTGTTGTTACATTCCCCCAGGAAGCAGCTCGTAGCAGCTGTCTAGCTCTCAGGTACCTATTTACTGCTAGATGAACAAGTGCATCAGGGTGAAATAAACTCTGCCCATTTGTGTCCGCCATCGCCGGGGATCGATCCCCAGTCCACAGGACTACGAATCCGTAGCGCTGACCACTCTGTGGCTGAGTGGTCAGAAAAGCCTAGAAAAGATCAGTCTCGGGTGTGGGCTGGATTACTTGTGTGAAGAATTTAGTTAGGAGTCGCTCCAGTATCTTTTCTAGTAAGCTTTCAATGCCAATGGAAAGTGTTTTAACAAGATCTGTACTCAGTTTTGTGGGAGAGGATTAGACTGTAGAGGTGCAGGATGGTTAGTGACAGACATCAGGTACAGACACAGGTTGTGGTTGAGTGAGTGGTAGTGGTTGTTGATGGACTGAGTTAGGTTGCTTCAGTGCACTAATGTATTGCAGGTTGTTTGTGGGGGAGAATCTTAATAGTAGTTTATGCTGCAATGTATGAAGGACATTGTTTGAATTTAATATCATGGCCGCCACCACAGTTTGAATATGAATAGTTGAGTATCTGACTCACAGTCTTGTGGTTAATGGGAGCCACAGCATTTACCACATTTAATATCTTTTGTGCAGCCTTCGAAGGTATGGTTTAAACCTTTACATCTGAAGCACTGAGTGGGACGTGGTAGGTACACCTCTAGTTTATGGAGGAAGTTGTTAAACCAAACTCCGATCAGGGGGAATGTAGTCTAGAAAAGTAAACAGGACAGCGCCTGTATCACTCAGTTCTCCGTTTGCTTCTACGCATACATCTTTTGACTCCGAGGACTGGAATGTCATGTGCCTGAAGTTGTGCCTTGATGTTGTCACACTAATGTCTACAATATGTCGAACTATATATTTTGTTAATCTGTCACTTAGTGACTTTTAGCATCTTACTGTGTATCCTCAGACGTCAATCACGTCAGAAAACTAGTTCTTCGCTACGATAAAGTTCTTACGGTTATTGGGCGTGATATCGTGCACTTTGATCTTAAATATCTTGGGATTACATGGTATACGATACTTTGCGTCCTGTTATTTCCAGACACACTCCTATAATCGGATATAACACACTCCTATAATCGGATATATTGTCATCAAAAGCAATGATGAACGTTTTCAAACCAACAGAACCGTCTTACTTTGGTTGAGCGGAGGATGTTGATCCTCGGGCCGCGCGGGGTCGGGATGATCTTTGTTTACCTCTAAGCTATTGGCGGCGCCTCGCCTCGAATCTGCTCGCCTTATTCTGGTGTTTATTGTCCAGGAAAATTTCTTCTCGATCCTCCTCTGAGACCGGAGGACAATATTGATTTGCATGCCATGCAACAGTGGTATCGTAAACCCTCAGCGGTATCGTCAATGTTTATGGGAGACGCTGTGAGCGTTTTGGCGTCGCGTTCTTCAGGCGTCGCATCTTCCAGGCCTCGGGAGACGCTGTAAGCGTCCAGGTGTCGCCATGGTACCTCACTTCCCTGGTGGGGCTGTGTACTTCTTGTTATTGGGACAGGTAACATTACCCAAGCAGTCTGTCGTCCTACTTTGTACAAATAGTGAGAGTTAATGTAAATAAATCCCCAACATATCTGTGTATAATGGCAATATGATCTAAGTCAGCTCAATTTATGCCGGCATGTGAAATGTATTCAAGTTCAGATATCAGGGCAAAATAGTAAATACATTCAGACTGTATTTACCATTTTGATGCCTTGATGGTTTCGGAGACACACATGAGAAGGCTCCATCATGGTGCTATAACCTGCCGACAGCCCCATGACCAGGTGTTCGGATGTGTGACCGCCGGTGTTCGGATGTGTGACCGCACACTCGGACTTCCAACCTGTAATTCCTTACAACTCTGTTCCAAATACAAATTATTGATATTAATAGAGATATTAGCATAGACAATGCTTCACTTCAGCATTCAGGATTAAAAGTTAGTGATGTTGTGTGTTGATGGTGACGCCGCGTGTATCTGGACCAGGCCCGGCGTCAACACCAGGCCAGGCGTCAACACCAGGCCAGGCCAGGCGTCAACACCGTGCAACACCAGGCCAGGCCAGGCGTCAACACCATGCAACACCAGGCCAGGCGTCAACACCATGCAACACCAGGCCAGGCCAGGCGTCAACACCGTGCAACACCAGGCCAGGCCAGGCGTCAACACCATGCAACACCAGGCCAGGCGTCAACACCATGCAACACCAGGCCAGGCGTCAACACCAGGCCAGGCCAGGCGTCAACACCGTGCAACACCAGGCCAGGCCAGGCGTCAACACCATGCAACACCAGGCCAGGCGTCAACACCATGCAACACCAGGCCAGGCGTCAACACCATGCAACACCAGGCCAGGCGTCAACACCATGCAACACCAGGCCAGGCGTCAACACCATGCAACACCAGGCCAGGCGTCAACGCAATGCAACACCAGGCCAGGCGTCAACACCAGGCCAGGCGTCAACACCATGCAACACCAGGCCAGGCGTCAACACCATGCAACACCAGGCCAGGCGTCAACACCAGGCCAGGCGTCAACACCAGGCCAGGCGTCAACACCAGGCCAGGCGTCAACACCAGGCCAGGCGTCAACACCAGGCCAGGCGTCAACACCAGGCCAGGCGTCAACACCATGCAACACCAGGCCAGGCGTCAACACCATGCAACACCAGGCCAGGCGTCAACACCATGCAACACCAGGCCAGGCGTCAACACCATGCAACACCAGGCCAGGCGTCAACACCATGCAACACCAGGCCAGGCGTCAACACCAGCCCATGCGTCAACACCATGCAACACCAGGCCAGGCGTCAACACCGTGCAACACCAGGCCAGGCGTCAACACCGTGCAACACCAGGCCAGGCGTCAACACCATGCCAGGCCAGGCGTCAACACCGTGCAACACCAGGCCAGGCGTCAACACCATGCCAGGCCAGGCGTCAACACCATGCAACACCAGGCCAGGCGTCAACACCAGGCCAGGCCAGGCGTCAACACCGTGCAACACCAGGCCAGGCCAGGCGTCAACACCGTGCAACACCAGGCCAGGCGTCAACACCGTGCAACACCAGGCCAGGCGTCAACACCATGCAACACCAGGCCAGGCGTCAACACCAGGCCAGGCGTCAACACCATGCAACACCAGGCCAGGCGTCAACACCATGCAACACCAGGCCAGGCGTCAACACCATGCAACACCAGGCCAGGCGTCAACACCATTCAACACCAGGCCTGGCTTCAACACCGTACAACACCGGAGACAGTTTTTCCACCACCATGAAATGGAAAGTCATGCTAGCACAGGACACTCCTCTTACATCACATCCCGCGTGGATGTCACCATCCGTGAGAAACCTTCCACACATCCCATGTGGAGGGTTGAAACCTGTGAGGAACGTTCCTCACATCCCATGTGGAGGGTTGAAACCTGTGAGGAACGTTCCTCACATCCCATGTGGAGGGTTGAAACCTGTGAGGAACGTTCCACACATCCCATGTGGAGGGTTGAAACCTGTGAGGAACGTTCCTCACATCCCATGTGGAGGGTTGTAACCTGTGAGGAACGTTCCTCACATCCCATGTGGAGCGTTGTAACCTGTGAGGAACGTTCCTCACATCCCATGTGGAGGGTTGTAACCTGTGAGGAACGTTCCACACATCCCATGTGGAGCGTTGTAACCTGTGAGGAACCTTCCACACATCCCATGTGGAGCGTTGTAACCTGTGAGGAACCTTCCACACATCTCATGTGGAGCGTTGTAACCTGTGAGGAACGTTCCACACATCCCATGTGGAGCGTTGTAACCTGTGAGGAACGTTCCTCACATCCCATGTGGAGCGTTGTAACCTGTGAGGAACCTTCCACACATCCCATGTGGAGCGTTGTAACCTGTGAGGAACCTTCCACACATCCCATGTGGAGCGTTGTAACCTGTGAGGAACGTTCCACACATCCCATGTGGAGCGTTGTAACCTGTGAGGAACCTTCCACACATCCCATGTGGAGCGTTGTAACCTGTGAGGAACCTTCCTCACATCCCATGTGGAGCGTTGTAACCTGTGAGGAACCTTCCTCACATCCCATGTGGAGCGTTGTAACCTGTGAGGAACCTTCCACACATCCCATGTGGAGCGTTGTAACCTGTGAGGAACCTTCCTCACATCCCATGTGGAGCGTTGTAACCTGTGAGGAACCTTCCACACATCCCATGTGGAGCGTTGTAACCTGTGAGGAACCTTCCTCACATCCCATGTGGAGCGTTGTAACCTGTGAGGAACCTTCCTCACATCCCATGTGGAGCGTTGTAACCTGTGAGGAACCTTCCTCACATCCCATGTGGAGCGTTGTAACCTGTGAGGAACCTTCCTCACATCCCATGTGGAGCGTTGTAACCTGTGAGGAACCTTCCTCACATCCCATGTGGAGCGTTGTAACCTGTGAGGAACCTTCCTCACATCCCATGTGGAGCGTTGTAACCTGTGAGGAACCTTCCTCACATCCCATGTGGAGCGTTGTAACCTGTGAGGAACGTTCCTCACATCCCATGTGGAGCGTTGTAACCTGTGAGGAACGTTCCTCACATCCCATGTGGAGCGTTGTAACCTGTGAGGAACGTTCCTCACATCCCATGTGGAGCGTTGTAACCTGTGAGGAACCTTCCACACATCCCATGTGGAGCGTTGTAACCTGTGAGGAACCTTCCACACATCCCATGTGGAGCGTTGTAACCTGTGAGGAACCTTCCACACATCCCATGTGGAGCGTTGTAACCTGTGAGGAACCTTCCACACATCCCATGTGGAGCGTTGTAACCTGTGAGGAACCTTCCACACATCCCATGTGGAGCGTTGTAACCTGTGAGGAACCTTCCACACATCCCATGTGGAGCGTTGTAACCTGTGAGGAACCTTCCACACATCCCATGTGGAGCGTTGTAACCTGTGAGGAACCTTCCACACATCTCATGTGGAGCGTTGTAACCTGTGAGGAACCTTCCACACATCTCATGTGGAGCGTTGTAACCTGTGAGGAACCTTCCTCACATCCCATGTGGAGCTTATCAAGACTGCAGCTTGTTTATAATTAATGTTTATCTTGTCCTTGATTCTTTGTGGGAAGTCCGAGTTACTCACAGTCATGTGGAGGGTCAGACCAATTGACTAACTCCCAAGTTCCTATTTACTGCTAGGTGAACAGGAGCATCAGGTTTGAGGAAACGCACCCAGCCGCCCCGCCTCGCCCGGCCCAGGATTATCCAGACACTAGCTTCCGTTTCAAGATTGTAATTATCATATGATGACTAACTTGTTTATCGTAACTATAACTTGGTCGTTAAAACTATAACCTGCTTATCAGGAGTTGTTACTTGCTTAGCTAAATACATTTTGGGGTTCAGATCCTTAACCAATTGCGTGTCTAACACATAATTGGTTCAGGATATGAACCAATTATTTTAGTTATTTGAACCTAATTATTACTATTATTTGAACCTAACAACTGGATCAGATCCGGAAACAATTGGTTCAGGATCTGAACCAATCAGGTTCTTGGGTATGGAACCCAGCATACCTCTCGCATTATGGATAATTAGTATGGAGCCCACTCACAGGTGGGTATTTTAATATGGAGCCCTCTATATCCCTCACAGGATGGGTATGGAACCCTCTATACCACTCACAGGATGGGTATGGAGCCCTCTATACCACTCACAGGATGGGTATGGAACCCTCTATACCACTCACAGGATGGGTATGGAGCCCTCTATACCACTCACAGGATGGGTATGGAGCCCTCTATACCACTCACAGGATGGGTATGGAGCCCTCTATACCACTCACAGGATGGGTATGGAGCCCTCTATACCACTCACAGGATGGGGTATGGAGCCCTCTATGCCGCTCACAGGATGGGTATGGAGCCCTCTATACCGCTCACAGGATGGGTATGGAGCCCTCTGTACCACTCACAGGATGGGTATGGAGCCCTCTATATCCCTCACAGGATGGGGTATGGAGCCCTCTATATCCCTCACAGGATGGGGTATGGAGCCCTCTATACCGCTCACAGGATGGGTATGGAGCCCTCTATACCGCTCACAGGATGGGTATTGAGCCCCTCTATACCGCTCACAGGATGGATATGGAGCCCTCTATACTACTCACACGAAGGGTATGGAGCCTTCTATACCACTCACAGGAAGGGTATGGAGCCCTCTATACCACTCACAGGATGGGTATGGAGCCCTCTATACCACTCACAGGATGGGTATGGAGCCCTCTATACCGCTCACAGGATGGGTATTGAGCCCTCTATACCGCTCACAGGATGGGTATGGAGCCCTCTATACCGCTCACAGGATGGGTATGGAGCCCTCTATACCGCTCACAGGATGGGTATGGAGCCCCTCTATACCGCTCACAGGATGGGTATGGAGCCCTCTATACCGCTCACAGGATGGGTATGGAGCCCTCTATACGGGCTCCAATGAGGACCTTAAACATAATACAGAGTACAAAACACAATCAAATGTACCCATAGTAGGAAAACAGCATGTAAAGGATTTGGGAATAATAATGTCTGACGACCTAACGTTTAAGGAGCATAACCAAGCAAATATTGCGACAGCCAGAAAAATGATAGGATGGATTACGAGAACTTTCAAATCCAGGGATCCCATCACAATGTTTGTACTCTTCAAGTCACTTGTGTTGTCCCATCTTGAGTACTGCTCAGTACTCACTTCCCCCTTCAGAGCAGGAGAGATTGCTGAAATGGAGGGAATACAGAGCACATATACGGCACGCATAGACGAGATAAAACACCTAAATTATTGGGATCGTCTCAAAGCCCTCCAAATGTACTCACTAGAAAGAAGACGAGAGAGATATCAAATAATATACACCTGGAAGATACTGGAGGGCCAAGTACCAAATCTACACAGTAAAATAACAACGTACTGGAGTGAACGATATGGAAGAAAATGTAGAATAGAACCAGTGAAGAGCAGAGGTGCCATAGGCACAATCAGAGAACACTATAAACATCAGAGGTCCGCGGTTGTTCAACGTCCTACCAGCAAGCATAAGAAATATTGCCGGAACAACCGTGGACATCTTCAAGAGGAAACTAGATTTATTCCTCCAAGGAGTGCCGGACCAACCGGGCTGTGGTGGGTATGTGGTCCTGCGGGCCGCTCCAAGCAACAGCCTGGTGGACCAAACTCTCACAAGTCAAGCCTGGCCTCGGGCCGGGCTTGGGGAGTAGAAGAACTCCCAGAACCCCATCAACCAGGTATCAACCAGGTAACCGCTCACAGGATGGGTATGGAGCCCTCTATACTACTCACAGGAAGGGTATGGAGCCCTCTATACCACTCACAGGATGGGTATGGAGCCCTCTATACCCCTCACAGGATGGGTATGGAGCCCTCTATACCACTCACAGGATGGGTATGGAGCCCTCTATACCACTCACAGGATGGGTATGGAGCCCTCTATACCACTCACAGGATGGGTATGGAGCCCTCTATACCACTCACAGGATGGGTATGGAGCCCTCTATATCCCTCACAGGATGGGTATGGAGCCCTCTATATCCCTCACAGGATGGGTATGGAGCCCTCTATACCACTCACAGGATGGGTATGGAGCCCTCTATACCACTCACAGGATGGGTATGGAGCCCTCTATACTCCTCACAGGAAGCTCAGAGGATGGATATGGATAGATGGATGAACAGATGGATATATGGAAGGATGGACAGATGAATCAATGAATAAAAAGTAATACACGCAATACAATAGGAAGGACCTTCGTAATATCCATAGTTTTCAATTCGTGTTTGCTAACAAAAACACCATTGCAAGCTATTGCAAACTTATAGGTCTACTACCCTTTGATCTCAGGCCTGCTGTTGTCTATCTGTTAAAATGTTTGAGGTGTAATGTTCGACATGTGGAAAATACCTCACGAAACTATTAAAACACCGTATTTGTGAGCACATGGGATATCTCTTACCGTGCTTGTTCTGCCTCTTAGGCAATGTGCTTCCTGTGCTATTAGCCATCACCGCACACACAACACAGCTGTTTATACACACAACACAATATTGACACCATTGTATAGTTTACAACTATTGTCCAGACAGCACCGAGAGGCAGCGGAGGTGGTGACTACCACAGGTCAGAGTGGACCCTGAGGACGAGCCTGAGGCGGTCCCTGGAGGTCAGGTCAGGGTAGAAGGTCAACCCGGTGGCCAGCTCCACGTCCCGCACCTTGGCGCTGTACAACAGTGCGTAACGGCTACCACCCTGGGGACAAAATGACAAAGCTATCAATTGGAAATACAAATACATTAGACTATATTGAAATGAATTTAACACTTATAGATTAATTTGGAGTATATTACACTTATAGAGTAATATGGAGTGTCCTAAATAATTTATATGGATAATTTGGCGAATATTTGTGTATCCCAGTTTATTTTAATTATTATGGGAAAACGCCAAGACATTACGACTATATAGCACAGGGAAGGGATCAGGATAACGATTTGGGATGGGACGGGGGGATGGAATGGTGCCTAACTATTTGGACGGTCGGGGATTCAACGCCGACCCGCATGAAGCGAGACCGTCGCTCTACCGTCCAGCCCAAGTGGTAAACCAGTTAGTGAGAGTAAAGGAATGGATGAATACAAATGACAGAACGGTACACGGCCAACATGACGGGCACATGGACGGTGGACAGGAGACTACGGTCTCCTGTCCAATAAGGCCATAACTTATGCCCCGAGACCATCACGTGCAGGTAAGTGCCAGAGGAAACTGCCAGAGGAAAGTGCCAGATGTAAGTACCAGATGTAAGTGCCAGAGGTAAGTGATAGAGGTAAGTGCCAGAGGGAAGTGCCAGAGGGAAGTGCCAGAGGGAAGTGCCAGAGGGAAGTGCCAGAGGGAAGTGCCAGAGGTAAGTGCCATACCAGGTGCCAGGCATGACAAGACTCACCATAGCAGAGACCTGGACCGGGAGTGGAGGTCCAGGGCCTCACTAACGTCAGATATCAATAATAAAATTGATACATCTCTTACGGGCTACTCATGCCCATACCACCACTTGGGTGGCTTAATCTTCATCAACCAACCACTTGAGCTGGACGGTAGAGCGACGGTCTCCCTTCATGCAGGTTGTTACGTACCTCTCTAAGATACGTAATTAAATAAATTAATTTGTACTTATATATGCTTTGTGTATAATAGGATTACATGTCTGTACATTTATGCAGTTATGTTTATATATTACATTGTTGCCTGTTTGGAGTTAGGCCCAATGTATCGTGGGAATGATTGTTTTTTTTCTGTGTGTGCTCGCTTGTTCCCGTGGGAATTATGATTTGTATTATCATAAGTGGGTAACAGTAGGTGAATTATAATTGTTTGAACATTAGTCGGCAAGATGTTCGTGGGAGAGTCAGTTCCCGCCAAACACACACCGAAACTACGACGTTGGTACAACGTTCGAACAAGTTTTAACACCTCCTAACCAGTTACAACAACCAATATAGCAAGTTGCAACAACGTTCTAATACGTCATAAACACGTTAAGCCAAGATGTAACAACTTTATTACAAGTTGTAACAAGCGGAAAATAGAGAGAGTTTCGGTTTGTGTTTCCAGGGTTGCTGGTGGGCGTGCCAACATTTCCCTTTGTTTTATTTTAATTACTTCATGAAGTAATAATTACATTATCCCTGTTATACATGTTATTCTGACCGTCTGGCTGAGACTGTGGATGACCTTACCAGACAGTTGGGGACCGGCTGAGACTGTGGATGACCTTACCAGACAGTTGGGGTCTGGCTGAGACTGTGGATGACCTTACCAGACAGTTGGGGACTGGCTGAGACTGTGGATGACCTTACCAGACAGTTGGGGACCGGCTGAGACTCTGGATGACCTTACCAGACAGTTGGGGACTGGCTGAGACTCTGGATGACCTTACCAGACAGTTGGGGACCGGCTGAGACTGTGGATGACCTTACCAGACAGTTGGGGGCTGGCTGAGACTGTGGATGACCTTACCAGACAGTTGGGGGCTGGCTGAGACTGTGGATGACCTTACCAGACAGTTGGGGGCTGGCTGAGACTGTGGGAAGATGAAGGCGAGGGCGTCCAATCTCTGGAGGGGGCAGAGGTCAAGCTGGGTCACAGGGTCACTGCAGCGGGTCACTATGGCGAACATGTCAGACGGCACTGCTGGTCCCCTGAGCTCAACAATAACAACCAATTAGTGAAGGAATGTGAAAGGTTACCCACCCCTCTCTCTGTCCTTCCCCCCCCCCCCCTCTCTCTCTCTCTCTCTCTCTCTCTCTCTCTCTCTCTCTCTCTCCCTGTCTCCTCCCCCCCCCCCCCTCCTATTCACATTCACATTCAGACAGCCACGACGATTTCTGGCACTGCCAGCCAGCTACACAACTAAATATTTTAAAAAGAAACATTTCCTTCTTGACACCCTCATCCCCCACCCCCCTCCCCTGCTTCCTTTCTTCCTCAAGTAGCCCAGAAATAACTTGAGGTTCCCAGATGATTTTCTTATTTTCCTTAATTTTTCTTCCATTTTCTTTTCAGTAACAACTACATTGAAAGCACACAATGTATTTCGCCCTTGACTCCATGAAAATGGTCTGAGTGTGTTTATAAGTGCTACTATTTCTCAAAACATTTAACTTAGGCCTACCCTCACCAGCCTATATCTGTTCCGTACCTCAAATCACTTTCCCCTGTAAATTTGAGTGAGATTAGCCACGAGCATCTGACCTTCACCCTTGGACAAACACAGAGACATTCTCTTATAGTATAGATTTAATCATATACTTTTTTCCACACACAGATAAGCGTATATATGACTTGGGACAATTATGACAGAAAGATGTGTCGTACGCAGCCCTTAAGGCTCGTAGTACCTGAAGGTGTGGCGGGGGTCGCTGAGGGCGTGGTCATTAGCCTGGAACACCGGGCCCAGCACCACGTTGATGGGGCCTCGACTGTGGAACCACCTGGGTATCATCTCCCCCACCAGCTGCCACCACCTCTCCGCCAGCTGGGGGCTCATGGCCACGGCGTTGCTTACCAGGTACGGCAGGTGTTGCCAGCTGGTGTTGCTGGTCGGGGAGCTCCCCGCATGCCCTGCCATACCTGAGGGATACAAGAATAGTGGGGATAGGGAGGAATTGGGAAAAACATGGAGGGACGAAGAATCAGTCAACTCACACATTCTGGTATTTGCCTTAGTAAACCATCCAGCTCTCCACTTGGAGCTAGCAGCAACTGAATGGAATGTCATGGGCCAGCATGGCATGAGCAGCCAAGCAATTGCTTCTCCCAATCCCAAGGATTGAGGGGAAAGGAAATCCTGAGTAACCAACTTAACAGAGTTCCAAGACAAGAAGATAACACTTAACAGGAGAGAGGATTGGTCAGACTGCATCTTCCTTGATTTTCAAAATGCTTATGGCACGGTACCTCGCCAGGGAATTCCTGCAAGCTAGAAAATCCGGCTCCTGTTTTGGGAAGAGTTCTAAGTTGGGTGAAGGAGTACCTTGCAGCACGAAGTCACAGTGAGAGGGGATGAAGGACTACCTTGCAGCACGAAGTCACAGTGAGAGAGAGGATATCAGAATGGAAAGAACAGTTCGACAACAAGTTGGAAATAGGACCCGTCCTATTCCTGAGAAATGTAAACGATTTAACAAAGGAAATAATTTCATTAATATCAATATTTACCGAGGGTTAAACTGACGAAAAGGATCAGAAGAGAAATACAGTGAAGTACAAAATGATCCAGATGGGAAGAGCTACAGCATGGTGAAGTTGTGGAGGTGAGAAGGGGTGAGGGGGAACTCGCTGGAAGGGATGAGGTGGTGAGGGGGCTGACTTACTGGGTGGGAAGAGGGGCGTCATGGTGAGGTTGTCCAGGGTGAGGTAGTCGTGGCAGGTGGCAGCGTGGTCAGGAGGCAGGCGGGGGTCGCTGGACCAGGGGGCCTCGGGCGTCTCCACCGGCGCCTCCTGCACCGTCAAACTTGTCCACAGCGGTACCTTCAGCGCCTCACTGTAACCTGTCCGGACAATATTAACAGCGACATCATTTTCCCCTCCAGTGGACACCACAAACACGCTACCACAACCTAACCTGTCCAGAGAATATTACCAATAACAACCCAGCCTCCTAATATGAGAGTACTTACAGTAACGATCCGGTCGATTGTACAAATACGGACGTGATGGACCAATAGAAAGTTGAGTTGTGTATTCGTAAATTTAGAAAAAAACAGGAGTAGTTTTTTATTTATGTTGCTAATAAAGCCTAACCGTCCTGGGTTAGATTAGGTTTCATTAATATCTGATGAATTTGTTACTATATTAGCCCTCAGATACGCCCTCTCTGAGGCCTAATATAATACAGTAAGCGCTATACTAGGCCTATGCATATTTAAGTTTGGTTTTAGCCTCATTTTTTCCGGGTTCTATGAAATGAATAGTAGCTGTTACGACCCTCACAGAAGCCTCTGCGATAAGGGCACACAAGTCGGGGAACAATCAAGTAACTTTATAGATGGAGGGGATGGTCTACATCTCCCTTTACCTTACTATGGTTATGGTGATGGAGGAGGGACGCCCCGAGCACTGTTACCTGTGACGTGGTTATGGTGATGGAGGAGGGACGCCCCGAGCACTGGTGATGGAGGAGGGACGCCCCGAGCACTGTTACCTGTGACGTGGTTATGGTGATGGAGGAGGGACGCCCCGAGCACTGTTACCTGTGACGTGGTTATAGTGATGGAGGAGGGACGCCCCGAGCACTGTTACCTGTGACGTGGTTATGGTGATGGAGGAGGGACGCCCCGAGCACTATTACCTGTGACGTGGTTATGGTGATGGAGGAGGGACGCCGTCGGGTCGGTGGTGTTGAAGGGCGGATCTGAGGGCGTCAAGGACGGGGCTCCCCAGGGCAGGTGGCTCTTCTCATACTGCAGCTGCTGCGCCTCTGTCAGCTCCAGCAGCGTCCTCCACGCCTGCCGGAGGTCAAGCATAGTAGTGCCCAGGGCGGTAGGAGTGGCACGGAAGGTAAAAAGTTAGAAATTTGATAAAATTGTGTCTATCGTAGCAAGATTTTCTGCAAATAGGTACCCCCAGGGTACTGGTACCTCAGGCTGGGTCTTTGAGCTGTTGCGGCTCCATTGCAACAGATCCAGATGACACAGGTAAAAACTAATGACCTCGTTGGACTCCTCATACAGAGAGGAACCCATAGACAGAACCATAGGAACCATAAAACCCAACTTGACACACTTGGGATATCAAATAGCAAAGTTGTATATTGCAAGCTCTTGTGCAAGTAATAAATTTGTGCTATGAGAGATCTGTCTCTCACATACATCCACTCACAGATACTTCTCTCTTTCTGATTCCTGTTGCTGTCATTTCCTTAAAGCGTAGATACCTCCTGGTGTCTTATTTTAGTAACCTTGTCATAAAAAATATTCGGCAGGCATAATTTTCTATTTATAAACCATACTTTTTTTTGTCACAAAGTCGATCCTCTCAAGATGCTCCACCATTCTCGACCTGATTACTTTCCCTAGCACTCTACACGCAATACTTCTCAATGACACTGGTTTGTAGTTTAGTGTCTCCTTTCTATTCTCTTTTTTGAATATTGGAACTACATTTGCCTTTTTCCAGACATCAAAGAGACTTTCTGTCTCGAGGGTTTTATTACAAATTTTAGGTAACAGGTGGCAGAGTACTTCTGTAGCCTCCTTCAGCAGCCATGGCGAAATTTGGTCTGGTCCCATTGATTTTGTAAAGTCTAGTTTCCACAGAATATTTTCACCTCTCTTCCTGTGATTACAATGTCATCCAGTATTTCCTCCCACCTTTCATCTTGTTACCTTGGTCTCCATGCTAGTTCTAATGTAAAGAACTGAAATCTTGTGTAGAGTTCTTCACATAGGTCAATTTCATTCTCTGAGAGAACTCCCCCTTGTTTCCTTAATCTGAGTACATGGCCTCTCACTGCAGTTTTTCTTCTTATATGGCTATAAAATAGCTTTGGTTGTTCTTTAGATTTTTCAGCAATGTTATATTCAAATTGCCTCTCGATTTCTTTCCTAATTCGGGTGTATTCATTCCTTGTTATCTTTAATGCCTCTATTGTTCTGTTTCCGTTTCTCTGTACCTTTTCAATCCTTTTTTGTCTTTTCTTTAGCTTCTCTGCATCACTTATTGAACCAGAGGTTTATTTCGGTAACAAGGTTGTTGATTTGTGGAACCAATTACCGCGTAACGAGGTGGAGGTGGGATCCCTCAATTGTTTCAAGCGTGGGATGGACATGTATATGAGTGGGATTGGGGGGTTATAGATAGGAGCTGCCTCATATAGGCCAATAGGCCTTCTGTGGTTACCTTTATTCTTATATTCAACTTGTATTTTACTTTTAATCCACTTCCTCCTTGTATGGTATGAACTGTTCCGTTACCTCGGCACATTTCCCAGCAATGAATTCCATCATCTCGTTTGCTGTCTTCCCTTCCATGGGATTTCCTGCAGAAAGTCCCTCATCCTGTTGTAGTCCCCACGTCTGTAATATCTTCTTCTTTTTCAACAGGTGTCTTTTTGTAACCTTCAGCTCCACGAGGTGTTCAAGTATGACACGGCAATGGTCACTAGCTCCTAGAGGCATCTCAACATCTGCTTCATTGTGGCAAGACACTAAGTGTAGTGTTGCTGGTAGATCGTTGTCTCTTACTCCTGTTGGGTCTGTGACATGTTGCTTTTAGAAGTGTTTGTCTACCATGTCTAAGTGTTTTGGCCTCCATGTCTCATCACCCTCGCAGGGATCCTTATTCATCCTGTCTGTTTTGTTAAACGCGGAGCCTCCTTAACCTCGTCACGCCTAAGGTTGCCACTATACACACCGACACTACACAAATAGACCAGTCAACATGACACTATACCCAAAGACCAGTCTACCAGATGCTATGCTCACAGGTCAGTTAGTACAGTGTGACAGGGGCGCCTGACAGCTGGGTGGACAGCACTTCGGATTCGTAGTCCCGAGGTTCCGGGTTCGATCCCCGGTGGAGGCGGAGACAAAGGGGCAAAATGTTTCTTTCACCCTGATACCTAGCAGTAAATAGGTACCTGGGAGTTAGACAGCTGCTACGGGCTGCTTCCTGGGGTGTGTGTAAGAACTGATGAGTTGGCCAAGACTTTTGCTTGTAAAGAGGGAATTGATTACCAACTTGGACTGCCTTTGAGCAGCCTGAGGGCAGCAATATCCCAGGAACATCAACTAAATTTCGGAGACTTGAGGCAAAGTGAAATTCACACCAGTTACTCCATCTATCATCATTCTATTATGCAGGAAGAACCGCACGTCTATGGGTCATCCAATAAGGTTAGCAGACTTCTAGATGTTACCACTGCTAGGTTTAGGCTCGGCTACAAGTTCGTACCTCTGGGAATTTGTAACATCTGCTTATGTAGATTTGACTAAATGTAAACTCTGTCAGCAGAACTACTCGCATACTTTGCGTCATTATATAATGGAATGTGAAAAAATCGCGGAATTTAGAGATAACACCATCAATAGTGTTCAAGAAATGTGTAAATACTTCATTCGTAATGATGTGCTGCCCGAAATCTTAGCGAAGTATCCAAAATTTGCTTACTGTAGGTAATGCATGCACATGACTGTAAAGCTGCCGCCCAGTTGGGTGGGTGTGGAGCACATGACTGTAAAGCTGCCGCCCAGTTGGGTGGGTGTGGAGCACATGACTGTAAAGCTGCCGCCCAGTTGGGTGGGTGTGGAGCACATGACTGTAAAGCTGCCGCCCAGTTGGGTGGGTGTGGAGCACATGACTGTAAAGCTGCCGCCCAGTTGGGTGGGTGTGGAGCAAGACTAGTAACTGTGTGACTCACCATAGATGTAAAGTGCCTCGTATGGTGACTGTTGTGAGCCTCTTGTTGATCACTTGTGACACAAAAGATTACTGATGTGTGTATTTGTGTGGGTGATTAAATATGTATGTGTATGTATATATGCATATGTATATTAGTATATTTTGGTAGCAGTCTTTCTTGCAAACATATGTTGTTAAATATGACCGAAAAAGTGAGATTAATAATTCTAACACGAATTTTCTCAATATTTCTTATGTTTCTTTTTACTGTCGATGATAATTGAAAAATCAATTCTCCAAAATTCATTTTTATTTCTAGTCTGATGCGATGCTTGAACGCGTTTTGTAATAACTTATTACATTTTCAGACTTTAGTTTACACACACACAACTGTAACCTGAAAACACTAAACAGAGTTTTACTTATGCTAAACACTTAAACAGCTTGTCTTATATACTCGCATTTGGGTGAGGTGATATGTTGCAACAGTTTTGGATGAGGTGAACAAAGTTTTGACCAACACAAGACAGAACACGGAACATTGGGTATTAACCCAATGTTACACCTGTATGAGTCAGGTGTAACACTGGGTTAATAGTGTTAATCCAATGATAACCTCTCCATTATAGTGTTAAGACCTAAGTCAGAGCTCAGGTCTTAACACTATAACGGAGTTAACAATGTAAAGTGTATAACCTTACCTGAGAGCCGGGGAGGTCACCCTCGCAGCCAGTAGTGGTGGACTCGTGTGAACTGTCATCGTTCTTGATGTAAGGAAGAGTCGGGGGTTTGACAGCCTGTAAGAGAGAGAGATGAGGTCAGCTTGGAGTGAACCTCGACCTTCCAGCTTTACATTGTCGTCAGTGACCTTATTGGGTCAGAGAGTGTGATATACATATTCCGTCTATGTATCCGTGATACACAGATGGAATGTGTATGTGTTCATTCGTTTAAGATGATGTCACGAGAATCTCCTTAGGAAAGGAGATTCGGCCTATTCCTTCATCGCCTATTCAACAACGACATATCTGCATACTCAAGTGTAAGAAATTAACATCCAAAACAGCAACAACAATAAGTGATCAGAAGCCTGTGTCTAGACAAGCTAGACAAGACTCCACTACTCTCTACCCCCCAGTACCCGTGACCCCGACACACCTGGTGTCTGAGAGGCCAGCTCCACCCACTGGTCAACAAGCCTACTGCTCATTTGCGTCTGCCGACTGACAATTTACTACACACCAGCGCCACCTACACGGCTTCGCCTGTGTATATAAGGACGGTGCTACATAGCTATGTAGCACCGTCAAAAGTGCGGGGTAATCAAAAGGCGCTAAATATCACTAAGGATGCCAATACGAAAACAAAAGCGCATGAGGCGAACAACATCAAAGGCATCCGATTCACCATGGATACTATCGAAAGGCAGGTGACTGCAAGAGACAGTCGGCAAGCAAGACGCCCCCACATCCTGGAAGTCAGGACATTCAACAAGGATATGCACGACTGTAAGAGGGACAATGCAATTCGAACAATAAGGAGCAGGTCGGCGCTCGATTAAGTGTCCCGTGAGATAAGCGCGTATGGCCAATAGTAACCTCACCAGAACCGTTTCCCACCACCGGTTATGGTGGTAGGAGGAAGGCCACGGGGACACACTACTCTTAAGAGCATGTAGCTTGTTACCAGTAACAGAAGACCAACAAACCTGCCAACAGGCAAAGATTGAGGAATGAACAACTGGGTAAAGTCAGAATAAGGAATACCTTTATGGGAAATGGGACCGGTGCAGATAGCTTCCTCAGTGGCAGCGTCTGCACAGTCATTCAAGGAAACACCAATATGGCTGGGAACCCAGCAAAACTCGACCATCTTAAATTGCTGAGATAAGAAACAGCCAATATTTTATTTCGACAACCACAGGATGAACAGGATTAAAGAACTCCAGAGTCACGAGGGCACTGTGAGAGTCAACTACAACAACAAAGGAAGAATTACGGTTAGAAAGCAGTTGACGAAGAGCAAACAAAATTGCATAAAGTTCAGCCATGAAGATGCTAGTCTCCGGAGACAGGCGACACATATAGGTGAAGTCAGGAAACACCAGGTAGTAGCCTACACCATCAGCAGACTTAGGCCCATCTGTGGTGACGGACATGGCTCGGGAAGGCAAGGGAGCTTTCAGGGAAAAGCACAAAGTCATTATGACTATATATCACTTGGAAGAGGTCAGGATAAGGATTTGGGATGAGACGGGGGGAAGGAATGGTGCCCAACAGCTTGGACGGTCAGGGATTGAACGCCGACCTGCATGAAGCGAGACAGTCGCTCTACCGTCCAGCTCAAGTGGTTGGACAAATGCGCGGGAGTGTGAAGAAAAGTGAACAAGGAAAAGAAGTTTCAGAACTGTAGGAGGGGTAAAAGCCTTAGTCACGCAGGTCAAGGCTCTGCAAAACTTAGGAAGAGGGACCCTCCATGGGGGACAAGGACGGAATGACACGAGGAGAAACATTGGCAACAGGAACCGAGAGAGAACCTTGCAAGCTAGACAACCGTTCAGAAAGGGGAAGGCGGTGAAAGGGAACAGGACCCACAGGAGTGGTAATGGTTAAAGTACGACAGAAGCGAGTGAGGGTGCTGAAGGGATCGCGTAAAGTAGCGAAGACAATAGCGATCTTGGCGACCCTCTAGAGACAGGATGCCGATCTCAACATATAGGCTCTGGATAGGGGTCGAACGAAAGGCACCAGAGGTACGATGGATCCCAGTATGGTGAAAAGCATGAAGACGACGAAGGGTGGAAGGAAAGGCAGACGAGTAAGCAGGACAGCCATAATCGAGTTTAGACAGCAAGAGAGGAATGTAAAGAGAGGTGCGTGCGCCTATCAGCACCCCAGGAAATATAGGACAAGACCTTAAGTAAGTTAAGGGCCTTTGAGCATTCAACTCGGAGGTTTGAGATATGGGGTGACCAGGACAAGCGAGTGTCAAAGATTAACCCCCCCCCAGAAGTTTAGCAGAATCCTTATACAAAATAGGATTACCATAAAGCAACAGAGGAGGTCGATGGTCGTCCTGCTTCCGAGTAAGGGTCACAAGTCCCTTGTGAGAAGTGCACAAGTCTTAGCCGGAGAGAACTTGAAGCCATGATTGGTGGCCCAGGACGACACGGCATCAATCGCAAGTTGAAACCGTCGTTGGAGGAAAGGCGAGTCATCAATTGACAGCAGAGGGTAAGATCGTCAACATAAAGAGCTGAGACAATTTCAGAGGGAAGGGAGGATGAAGACCATTGAGGGCAACCAGGAAAATAGTAGTGCTCAAAACACTATCTTGGGACACATCTTCGTATTGCCGAAAAGAGGCAGACAGAGAGCAGTACCAAGCCACACTCGAAAGGAACGACGAGAGAGGAAGCTCTAGAGGAAGAGAGAGAGATTACCAAAAAGACCAAAAGAACGAAGTTGGGACAGAATATGGTACCGCCAGGTGGTGTCATTTGCCTTTTCCAGGTTAAAAAGAATAGCAACAACGGAGGTCTTTGCAGCAAAAGCAGTATGAATATAGACCTCCAAGTTCACAAGGACATCAGTCGTGCTGCGACACTTGCAAACTTGCAAACTGCAAATTGAGAAGGGAAGAAGAGGTGATAGCGTTCCAAGAACCACATCAGACGGATATTGACCATACGCTCAAAGAGTTTGCAGATGCAACTAGTGAGAGCAATGGTGCGGAAGTCTGTAGGGGATGAACCTAGAGAACCAGGTTTCCGAATAGGAAGAACAACCGCCTCAAGCCAGTCCTCAGGGACTGACGACGACTCCCAGACATGGTTATAAACACTTAATAAATGCTAAAACGTACAGAGAGGGAGATAGAGAAGCATCTCACAATGAATATCATCTGAGCCCACCGCCGTAGAACCGCAGAGGGCCAGGGCAGACTGGAGTTCTGAGAGAAAGGATCGTTATAGGGAAGCTGGAGAGAAGAGCAAAAATCTAAGGGATAAGACTCAAGAAGGGGCATACGAGTAAGGAAAGAAGGATGAAGATGAGTGCAGGAGCCAACACTCGAAAAGTGAGAACCCAGTTCGGTCGCGACCGACATCGGATCCGCCACAATCGAACCACGGAGATGAAGGACTGGCAAGACATGTGGAACAAACTTACCCGCTATCTTGCAGATTTTCTTCCAGATCAGGGGTAGAGGAGTGTCAGACGAAATGGTGGAAAAGGAATCTCTCCAATCCACACGTTTAGCCTTATAGATGGCCCTACGGGTGGCCCGTGCAGAGAGGGGCAAAAGCGGCGCACTTGCCCTTCGAAACAAAACAAAAGAAACGGGCGTCCTACGGCGACGGTGTCTCTTACAGGCTGCACGCTTACAGCAGACAGCCCGAACACAGTCTGCGTTCCACCAGGGAACGCATTTCCGCGCGCCCCTGGAGGTAGAGTGAGAAACAGAGTAGAGGGCAGCATAAAAAACAGTGTCATGAAAGAGGAGGGGGGGCTCGTGGAACAGGCAGATCAGAGAGGTCGGAAAGAGTAGCATGCAAGGTGAAGAGGTTCCAGTCAGCCTTGGCAAACTGCCACTTAGGGAAGGAGAGGGGGAGGGCTAAAAGAGAAGGTGACAAGGATGGGGAAATGGTCACTTATGTACGTCACCAAGAACCCGCCAGGTGAAGTCCAAATAAAGAGAAGACGAGCAGAGAGAAAGATTAAGACAGGAAAGGGTGCAAAGCGGGTGTCAACATGAGTGGGCTCGCCAGAATTCAGAAAAGACACAGAAGAAGAGTGAACAGAAGGTTCAAGGCGGCGGCCCCGGGTGTTCGTCAGAACATCACCCCAGAGGGTATGCCGACAGTTAAAATCACCCAAAAGGAACACCGGCTCTGGTAAGGAGTCCAACAGATATGTTAAGATCAGGAAAAGAAAGTGGGACATTCGGGGGGGGGGGAGATAAATGGAATAGACTGAATACATTTACTCACAAAGATACGGGCCGCAGAACACTGAATGAGCGACTGAAAAAGAGAGGGATATTAGATCATAATTATATGAAGTTGATGAATACCCATCAACAACTGCCTTCCTTAATACTGTTGAAACTGATATCCCTGAGCTCTCCAGGTGTTCCTGGAAACGATACTAATAAAGAACTAAAAGAAAGGAACAGAGAACCGTTGAAAAACTCGACTCGTGTCAATAGCACACGGGCTCACCACGGCCCATGGTGAGCCCGTGGTGCTTGGAACAAAAGTTCCAAGCACCAGTTAGGTCAGTTTGCAACTTTTGTTCCCAGTGGCTGAATCTAGAACAACAGAACACCAGCATCACATATATTTCCTTATTGCAACTAGACCGAAATATTTTTGATGACAGCAGGCATTGTTGAGTCTACTAGATGGTGAAGGGTTCCCAGGTAGGGCAGTGCTCACCTGGCTAGGTGCTGGGATGGGTGGGGGGTCGACCAACAGGTGGTGTAGGGCTCCCCAGGTGGTGGACTCACCTGGCTAGATGGGTGGGGGGTCGACCAACAGGTGGTGTAGGGCTCCCCAGGTGCCATTGTTGGGGGCGGGTGTAACAGAGGTGAGAGCACACATGAGGTTGTAGAGTTCGATGTTCTGGAAGGGTTCCACCTCCATCCCTTGCTGGAGGTCGGGCCCGTAGCCCACGAACAATGACTGGTGGAGGAACAGACCGTCAGTAGTGGAGGGCAGGCGAGGAAGGCAGCCGCGGAGAGTGAGCATCAGCTTCACTGCATGAGGCTGAAAGCTGAACATTAGATAGTTGTAAGTCGGACCCCAGCCTTACATGACCGGCTGACCGATCCCAGCTCATCACTCCTATTGGTTAGAGATATGCGGGTGTGAAGAGGAGACGGGGTTAACCTGGTCTGATAGGCTTGCTGAAAATGAATGATTATCCTGATTATTATAAATAAAATAAATGGTTTATTGATCAGCTAGAAAGTCGTGTTCAACATAATAAGTGAACATTTAAGGCCATTAGCTGAAAAGTTCAATAATTATTTCGCTGAAAATGAGGATCCTGGTGAAGGTAATCTCTGGATTAATAATCTCTTCTTGGAAGATATAAAATCCTGCGCCCTTGATCCTCGTGGAAAAGAAAGCTGATAGAGTCGCCTTCTGATGTCACTCTGTCGTCCAGACATAAAATGCAATTGTCTCACTTTTGGACATTACTCGAAAAAGAATATCCATCTCTTGAGTTATATTGTTATCAAATTGTTTGTCTTTTTTCTACTTCATATTTGTGTGAAAATACTTTTTCAATGTTCTCAGTAATAAAACCAAACAGAGAAATGGAATGACTGTTAACGAAAGGTTTCGTCTCCCAGAAACACCACTGCAGCCACCTAGCAAATTTTCTAACAAAGAAACAGCAGCAGGCGTCGACCTAAACATTTTAATTTTATAACATTAAATTAAATAAATAAAATACTATCTACATTAATTTTTATTTATTTTAGACATCAGTCGATCCACAAAATATTTCTCCTATTTTCTCAGGGTCGCAAGTGTAAAATAGGGCTATCTTGAGGTTATCTTGAGATGATTTCGGGGCTTTTTAGTGTCCCCGCGGCCCGGTCCTCGACCAGGCCTCCACCCCCAGGAAGCAGCCCGTGACAGCTGACTAACACCCAGGTACCTATTTTACTGCTAGGTAACAGGGGCATAGGGTGAAAGAAACTCTGCCCATTGTTTTTCGCCGGCGCCTGGGATCGAACCCAAGACTACAGGATCACAAATCCAGCGTGCTGTCCGCTCGGCCGACCGGCTGGACTAAGATTAATAATGTAAACGAGAATCACTGCAATTAACACAAGTCGGCCTATGGTGAGGTGGCAGCCACTAACTACCCAACAAGCAGGGGCAATACACGTCAGTAAGAGCCCCTGGCCAGTAAACAGGTGAGGGCTGAGTAGTAACTACTCACGTTCATCTCGGGGTAGTAGTAGTCGTAGCCGTGTAGACCCTGCAGGGGTGGCCGCGACTTGATGTTGGGTCGGAGGTCTTTGACGAAGTATCCGGGGTCGAGGTCGAGCACAATGTCGCCGAGGCGTCTGTTGTTGCTGTAGTGGAGTCGCTTGGGCAGGTCCTCGGGACGGAACACCCTCATCCCCTCCAGCTGGCACGAGAGGCGACGCAGTAGGTCAAGCGTCGCTTCTGCGGCGGTACAAGATGTTGGGAACTTAACCACGTGCCAAGATGATGGGGACTTAATCATGCGCCAAGGTGATGGGGACTTAACCATGCGCCAAGGTGTTGGGGACTTAACCACGCGCCAAGATGTTGGGGACTTAACCACGCGCCAAGATGTTGGGGACTTAACCACGCGCCAAGATGTTGGGGACTTAACCACGCGCCAAGGTGTTGGGGACTTAACCACGCGCCAAGATGTTGGGGACTTAACCACGCGCCAAGATGTTGGGGACTTAACCACGCGCCAAGATGTTGGGGACTTAACCATGCGCCAAGGTGATGGGGACTTAACCATGCGCCAAGATGTTGGGGACTTAACCATGCGCCAAGATGTTGGGGACTTAACCATGCGCCAAGGTGTTGGGGACTTAACCACGCGCCAAGGTGTTGGGGACTTAACCACGCGCCAAGGTGTTGGGGACTTAACCACGCGCCAAGGTGTTGGGGACTTAACCACGCGCCAAGGTGTTGGGGACTTAACCACGCGCCAAGGTGTCGGGGACTTAACCACGCGCCAAGGTGTCGGGGACTTAACCACGCGCCAAGGTGTCGGGGACTTAACCACGCGCCAGGGTGGGGCATGTGTTCGTCATCTCAACATGTGTGGTGAAGCAACTCTGACTCACAAAGACTTTAAGCAGCAAGATGGAAAAAATAGACGATGCTTTAGCTGTACCTGACGAACTAGACCAACCTTTCACTCTGAAAGAACTCAGAAGAGCTACAAAGAAAACTAAAAACACAGTTCCAGGTGAGGACAAAATCACTTACAACATGCTGGCCAAGCTAGGAGAAAAGGGTGAAGAAGCCTTCTTGAATCTCATCAACAGAGTATGGGTGACAAGAACTCGACCACTCTCTTGGAACAGTGCAATTATAGTTCCCATTCCAAAACCTAATGACCCTGGAAATCCAAGACCCATTTCATTAACAAGCTGTCTGGCTAAAACTGCAGAAAGAATGACTCTTAATCAAATTGAATGGAAAGCCAATCCACTACACCAAAATATGTTTGCTTACAGAAAAGGTGTTGGAACCACAGAATGCCTTACCTCCCTCCTGGATCAAATCAATGACAAACCTGGAATCCTTATTTTTCTAGACCTAGAAAAAGCCTTCGAGATAGCTAATGCTCCAGTTACACTGGAGCATCTTATAGACTGTGGGTTGGTTGGTGTTGTCGTCGTTGATCCTTCTCTATGGACAACCCAACCCACAACTCGGCAGAGTGCTTATACTAGGAGATCACCCTTGGCGCTTCTGGCTCTTGGAGAGGGGCTCAACGTCACACGTTCAGGGGATGCGGCTCCAACACTTAGCCTCGTTGTCACGTGCACACACCCACTCGAGCCGCTGTGACTCCCCACTCTCTCCTTATGAGATATGATCTCCTCAATCCCCCTATGACTTACTAGTATTACCTCCTACCCTGTCCACAGCAGTGGTTCATGGTTCTTTCTCTCTCTCTCTCTCCTTATTTACTACCTCCTGGGAAGCCTCACTAGGACAAGGGCAAACACCAGCAAATTGTGACACATTTACTGAACAAAGCACATACACGATACATACACACATATAATAATAATGAATCCTATACTCTATAATATTACAATCAGGTTGCACTCCAATACCATCAGAACTCTATTATCAGCTTATCAAGTGGTATCCTATCTCCTGGTTCACCACCTGATACTATTAACCTCCTCAAGTTGGTCAAGCCTACATACACTGTTGCACTATCAGCAAGATAATGTATATATAGAAAACCAGCATTTGAATGCAATAACATATACCAGTATAAATGTCCATTGATACTTCAACATAAAAAACTCCTTGACATAAGAATGCCAACAGTCACTCACCTCTCACTGCGTCTTGCACGCTAATGACAACCAAACACTATCAACTCCCTACTAGTAATCCACCAGAACTTCCCCTTCCACCTCTGGAAGTTCACTACCCTATTTCTTTAGGTTCTTCCGGGCTTCACTACCAGGATCCTCTGCAGCTCCTCCAGGCTGCTATCATGAAGTTTCCTTGAGCAACTACGGTGCTTCACCCTTCTGTTATGTTCTTCCACAGCTCTCTCGGCTGCTACACCACCTCTACAGAAGCACGTGACACTCCTCTTCTCTGCTGCTTCTCCTCACAGCTCGAGGTCCTCTGCTCCACTACCTTGGAGTCTCATCAGCTACATCATCTGCTGGCTTCGAAGTTCTCATCAACTTCTTCCCCAAAGACAAACCTGCAACCCATCGACGTTCCAATAAAATGTTCCCCTTTAACACATAAACAAAAATAACCACACAATATGCTTGCCTCAAACCTCTATCTGTTCTCTACATACAGTGAGAGTGGACTCCCCCGTTTTGGGCGGGTCCATACTCCACCTCGCCTGGCGGCGGTCCTCACTCGCTGGGAGGGTCTTCCTCCATCCGGAGCCAGGCTCCCTCAGTCGTCCGCCAGCGCTCAGAGAGGACGGACGTCGCTCCGTGTTCCTCCCTCTTCACTCTCCTATTTCAGGCCTTCTGCCTTATTAAAACATGTCTAACTTATAAATAAACATCGCTACTGTCGCTGGGCACACGACCAACTACAATGCAATCACTATGAACTGGCGTATATCGTGCTTACCACAGATTAACTGATCGAGGGCGCTTTTCCTCTGACGGCGTCTGGTCAGGGCGCTCCACACAGCCCACAATAATGCCTCCGGGCGGCTTAATATTCACTAATTATCGTCCACGACTTGAGACCACACGTCCCCAGCTCGATTCCACAGCTGGCACGTCTGCACACTTCTCTTCTCTTAGAGATATATCACTAGGGGTTCCCTTCTGACGGGAGCTCAACGGAGCGCGGCTTCCCCCTGCGATGTCTGGCACTCAAGTGAGGTCAAGGTCCTCCGGAAGCGAGCCTCAAGCCTCCAGCAAAATGTCCACATCTCCTAGCCAGTCATTTATCTATTTTCTCCTTCATTGCCCATAATCTCAAACTGTTATACATATCCAAGCAACTATTTTGCATATGCGTTATCACCTCAATACTTGCTAGACCTTCTAGTTAGGTCAGGCTTGCTGAATAACTCTCAAGAAGGGAGACTCGTTTCTCCTGCAGGCTGAGATCATAACAAGCATTAGCTGTCTTGTGGATAAGGAAATCAAGGGACACGCTCTTGCCTTTGCCAAAGGAAGTCTGCTTAACCGAGAAGCTACAGTCAAATTCCAAGGAGAAACATCCTCCTCAAAGAGGCTGGAAAATGGGACTCTGCAGGAAGGATTACTAATCCCCTTCAACTGTCTCATGGAACAATTCATGAAGCTCAAGTTATCAAAAACCAAACCGCTTGACTATGCAGAATACTTTATGGTCATCATCAATGACAAAGGCGCCAGGAACCATGCCGAAAAATGCGTAGACATCATCAGCAGGGAAGCGGAACGCATAACAGTGAAAATAAACAGCAATAAAACCAAAGCTATGGCCGTTAAAATGAGAACTTAAGACATCAGACTCGCAACACAATGACATGAAATTGAGTGGGTTAACTCTTTTCAATACCTAGGAGCCATTATAGACAGCCAGTTGAAATTCACTCAAGAAATTGAATATCTTCGGCAACGTTGTAAAGCCAGAAACTCAGCCTTGCGCTCCCTGACAAGTCTTAGAGGTGGTGCATCTCTACCAGTACTCAAAATGTACCACGTTCAAGCAGTTAGGCCACTCATTGACTATGCTGCCCATGCTCCTACATCCCACAGTGATAACCAATGAGAGAAACTGAAAATGTCTCAAAATGATGCTCTCAGAACAATGCTGGGAGCACCTATATGGACGCGTCGAGAGAATCTAAGAATGATCAAACAAAGGATGGCCACCATAACAGCAAAACTTGTCGGAACCACCGCCAGACTGTCAATCAAAGATAGTATACATAGAACGCTTCACAGAAACCTTCAATATAGAACAAGTGCATGGACGGATAATCTGGTCAAGATTCTAGAGAAAGTGGACTTGAAATGGACCATTAAAAACAAAGGGGAAATGGACCATATCAACACTTTCGGCAGCCTCCTCCATGGGAAAAATCGAGTCTAAAGATTATCATTGAAGAATTACCAGTTAACAAATCAGCATGTGACTTTCAGAGGCTCAAAGCAGTCATAGAACAACAAATGTAAACCATCTCAAGACCTACAAAGACTCACATCTTCACAGACGGATCAGTTGATCAAGAAAAAGGTTCTGCTGGGGCAGCAGTTTACACTACCAACCATGAAGCTTACTGGAGCATGAATAGTGGGTGCTCAACATTGCAAACAGAATTATATGCCCTGAAGGAGGCAATAAACTATTCATTTGAGAATAATTTACATGATGTCATCATTCATACCGACTTTAAATCTACGCTCCAGGCATTGTTATCTTGCCAGCACAGGGATAATATATAACTCATCACAGAAATCCTACATATAGGAAAAGAAGCACACAATCTAGAGCTTTCAATCACCCTAAATTGGATACCAAGTCACATTGGCATCAATTAGATGGCAATGTAATCATTGGCATCACATTACCATCAATTAGATGGTAATGAAAAGGCAGACTCACTAGCAAAAACTGCCACTGCTCTACCTGTTGTACAGGTTACAATACCTCCAAGTTTTTCACAAATTAAGGAACAAATCAAGAAGAAAATACTCCCAACTATCAAAAGTCGCCACAGCGCCAAAGTAGCGGAAGGAAGATCCACAGCAATATGGTAGGAACAAGCCACCGGGTACCCCTCTTTCAAGCCTGACAAAAAGATATCTAGAGACATTCCAGTAGCCATACACAGACTCAGACTTGGTTGCAAGTGCTGCTGGGAGGTAATAAACCCAATAGTTAAAAGGGTGTCATATTTGTGGAAAAGAAGCAGAGGCGCCACTATTGCACTACTTACTGGAATGTGATGCAACTGA